TGGGTGTGTGGCTTGTAGGTCCAGCCCACACAAACACTCATGTGCAATATCAAGATTCCTTGTCTCGTCTTTCTCATTTTCTGCCGAAACGTTTTTTGCTGTTTTACCATTTTTTAAAATCTATCTATCATATACTTTGCTGTATCAAGATAGTAATAGATGGTTTTCATTGAACAGACTCAATATTACAACTCTGCAATGACATTAATTAAATCTTTGTTATCTGTATTTATTATCATATTATTGACTTTTCTACAACACACCATGTGCTACTGGTCATGGCAGACAGGAAATATTGTCCTCCCTGGTTCAGCTCTTTGCCGTCATCTACATTTGGAAATAATACAGGAGCTCTTTCCTAAGGGTCCACTGAGTCTAATCTTCCAAAAGCTATTTGCACTCATGATGAGGCACTGTCATCTGTCCTCAGCCAAATTTTTCAGTGACAATATGTTCTTGTCATCTGCCCCTCAGGCAATTTTTTTTTCTTATGATAGGAAAGCCCCATCACCCAGATCCAATAAGTTAACCCTAATAATCTGGATGCTATAACCATCATGTCATGAAAAAATTTGGCTTGAAGGATGGGTCAAGGAAAAATTTGGCTGGGCTCCAAGGTGATGGGAACTTGCTCTCATGAGAAGGGTGATTAGACTCAGTGGGCATTTAAGGTGTTTTTGCATTATTTCCATTGATAAACAAGTGTGGAATGTACAATCCATGAGCCATGATTGGAAGAGCACAGGCTGTTGGGAGGATGCTTATTCTATGCTCAGGTTCCCATTCCTACCTGCCTTGACCATCCGCACAAATTGTATTGCAGAAAAATTAATTTTACGAGAAAGATAGAATATGACAAATAACAAAATAGTATAAGATACATGCCTGTTTTAGAGAGAGAGAGAGAGAGAGAGAGAGAGAGAGAGAGAGAGAGAGAGAGAGACAGAGTGAGTGAGTGAGTGAGTGAGTGAGTGAGTGAGTGAGTGTAATAAAAAAATGAAATTATTTTCTGAAAGCTTGTTGAATGTCATGTAAGATGAGACACAAGGTAACCTTCACTTTCTCGGAATAATTTTAAAAATCTGGCAGGCCTCCAAAAAACAATTATAAATTATTTTCATACAAATAAATAGATAGGATACACTGTTCATATGGAATCTTTTATATTCTTTATGTTTTCATCATATATAGTTAGTTTGATCTATGAGCAAAATATTTTGAAAATGCAAACCTCCCCCTCCACGTTTGTAGTCTTCAGAAATTCAAGAAAATCCAATTTTAGTCTAAAGTAAATATTTTATGGCTCATTTTGTTGCTAAATGAAAAATCTAGTGCTTGTTGCATTTAGTTTTTGCGATTTTTGTGTGTACTTCTTGTAAAAAAGGCGTATATATATAAAAAATCACACTTGATTTTTGTAATAGTTGGTTACTTAAAAAATTCACAATAAAAAAGAAAGTCAAAATTGAAAAAAAATGCTTGCAACAAGCAAGAGATTTAGAATGAATCTGCTCAAAAATCACATCAGAATGCCTGTCTATTTTTTCTAGATCGGATATGATTTCTGAAAAATTGCCAATTTTCAAAGTGGGAACTTTTTTTTTTTCTTCTTCTTCTTCTTCTTCTTCTTCTTCTTCTTCTTCTTCTTCTTCTTCTTCTTCTTCTTCTTCTTCTTCTTCTTCTTCTTCTTCTTCTTTTTGACAATAATTCAAAAACTGTTCAGGCGATTAAAAAAAAAAAAAGAATTGAATCAAAGAAATGAAAAGAAAATAAAGATAGAAAGAAAAAAAATAATAAAAAGATAAAAATGAAAAATAAAACAGATGATCGCCTTAACCTGTTAAGTGTTACATTAGTTTACGTATAGGGTAACCCCAGAGGTAGCAATTTTTTTTTTTTTTTTTTTTTTTTTTCCTTAGCCCAAACAACCCAAAATCAACCAAGAAACACAAATAAAACCTTAAAAGGGATCAGCATACCAGACTGATACTTCCACCCCCTCTGTGCCACGTCTTCTCCCTTCGCTTCTGATGTGCGTCCTATGCTGTCTTCCAGCATATTTTACATGCGACCATTAGTTGTAACCATGTAGATGAAGGAGATGATGCAGCAGCAGCTACAGTGTGTGGAGCTGGCAAGGTGGTGGCAGAGGGCCCCTCATGCTCATCATCATTGCTTTCCTCGCTCTTGGAATAACCTTGGCTAAATACATAATCCATATCTTTACTGCTATCATCTAGGGGGTAGTTACTATCAGAGTCCTCCTTATCAATAAATTCTCTATCATCTTTGCATGAAAGCAATGAATAAATGCTAGTTATATCTAGGGATCGATGGCGTCTATCTGCCATGAGTATAAGGACAGTTCTGGTGGCAGGAGAGCACCCAGAATTCTTGCACCTTTTAGGAGAACATGCCAGAGACTCCAAGGAAACTAAATACTGCCCATACAAAGCAAATAATTAGCGCAAAAAACATATATATGTAAAACATCGTGATGTGAGAAACCTCTGGGCATACCCAATGCAAGCATGTCTTGTGACATGAGAAACATTTACCGGGTTGATCAGTAAACGTATTTACTAGTATTTTATACACACACACACACACACACACACACACATATATATATATATATATATATATATATATATTATATTATATATATATATATATATATATATATATATATATATATAATATTAACCCAGTGTCGCTAGGAAAATTTAGTGTTCATTTTAGTATTGTTTTGTGAAATGTCTCTACACATAGATAGTTTAGCCACCAAGTAGTCAATTTGTTGACCATGTGAACTCCCCTGATTCCAATTTTCTTTGAGTTTCCAGGATTTTGTTTTTTCCTCTTACTAATGCTGTAAATGTTGCTGCTGATATTATAATTATTGTTATTACTATAAATCATATAATTATTATGATGTTTTGGATATTACTACCAGTAATATAAAAAAAATATTTTTCTGACAGTCAAGAAAAAAGAGAGACATATGAGATAGGTAGTACTAGTAAATAGCTTATTGATGACTAAGTACTTGTGGAGCCTTTTATTTGTAAAGACAAATGACAAACTAAACTCGGTGGGCATTGCATGTACGTACATGTCATCAGCAATGGTTTTGGGTTAAGAGAGAGAGAGAGAGTGAGTGTGAGTGTGAGTGTGAGTGTGTGTGTGTGTACACGCGCGCTCGGGCGCATACATACATGCATGCATATGTGCATGTCTTTTGTAAAAGATAATGTAAATAATTGTTGCATATATATAAACAATATCACTATGTTTTTTGTTTCGTAACTGTGCTTTTCAATAAGTGGCATTATGATAAGTTAAAAGTGGGGCAATGTGAGGCACACTAATTGTAGAGTTGTCAATCTTTCTCATGTTTGTGATGTTGAATCTTGAATCCATTAAACTACTAACGCGGGTGTATTTTGAAGCTGAAAATAATATTTTCTGGGCGGCTACAAAATCTGTGCACAGGGCTGGTCTGGAATCTGCCCGAGCACCAGCTGTGGCCCTCGACGGAATCGGAGCACAAGCTCCAATCCAATGTCACACTGGCGGGACGTCCAACAGTGTTTATTTTTCTGGGCATCACATATATGCGACACCCTTCGTAAATGGGTTAATGCCATAAGCAGTACATGTGGAGAAGCCCACACTTTCCCCTGTGGATGACATTGCAAACTCCACCTCATTTACTGATAACACAAGCATGTTCCATTTTTTAAGAATGTCAGTTGTGATATGTAGATATGAATGCAAGAGGAAATATTGGAAAAATCTTGAACAAGAAGATTGAATATGCATGTTCTTTGATTTTATTGTGCTCCTTTTATGTCTTTGTGTAACATCTCTCAATACATTTTATTGTTCATTCTGTGAACTTGATAACTTTCATGTACATTCTTTTCAGAAGATGTCTCAGGCGCATTAGTTCCAGTAGTGTTGAACTAGAGAGTGATGAAGAAGATGAACACCCAGTCACCCCACCAACATCACCCAATAGTGCCTGCAGTGCAGCCACAAACACTAGAACTTCAGCAGATGAGAATATATCATCTCTTACTCATCCAGACACACACAATCCTTGGCTACAGCAGTGCCACCAGACAACACTGCACAAACTGAAACAAAAGTCTGATTCTTCTAATGTTGTAGGTGAGTACAGGTTGTCATATGTTGTTAGTTTTTGTAAACACGCACATGCACATGCATACGCACCCACACACACACGCACACACACACACACACACACACGTACACACACACACGTACACACACACACGTACACACACACACGTACACACACACACGTACACACACACACGTACACACACACACACACACACACACACGTACACACACATGTACACACACACACGTACACACACACACGTACACACACACACGTACACACACACACGTACACACACACACGTACACACACACACACACACACACACACACACACACACACACAACACACACACACACACACACACACACACACACACACACACACACACACACACATATACTGATGTTTGTGTTCCTCATGGTCCTTCACTTTATTTTCTTTCTTCTTTTTTTTTCTTTTCTTTTCTCTTCTCTTCTTTTTTATTCCTTTCTCTTCTCTTCTATTCTTTTCTCAGTTCTTCTGTATTATTCTTTTCTTTTCTTTTTTTTCTCTTCTCTTTTCTTCATTTCTCTTTTGTTTTTCTTTCCTTTAAGCTGTGTCTTGTAATATCTGTAGTATTTGGTAATTTAGCTTTTATTTATTTATATATTTATTTTTGATTATTATTTTTTTTTTTTTTTTTCATTTTATTTATTTAATTTTTGAGGAGAATGCTGGTAATGCAGGCTTTTACTTGCTGTATATGTAACACATGCTTTTGCATATATTTTCACCAATTTTATAATAAAATAGATTTTTATTTTAGGCTTCCTTGAGAGAAGGAAAGACAAGTGTTTTATTGGGTGATAGCACATTGCATCACTATTTGTGATATGAGTTATGTACTTATTATTGTTATTATCATTATTGTCACTGCTATTATTTTATTATTATTTACCTTTTTTTAATAATGAACTTACTCCCTGGGTGTCCTGGAAGTTTGAATAATATATCACATATTTAATATATATAGTTGCATTGTATATTCATTTTACTATACTTTCCTATTTCAGAATGTATAATGCTCGAGAACCTCACCTTCAAGTTCAGATATCCATGTGTTCTTGATCTGAAGATGGGGACAAGACAATATGGGGATGATGCTCCGGAAAGCAAACGCAAAAGTCAAACTGCCAAGGCGGCTAACACAACCACAATCACGTTAGGAGTCAGATTGGTAGGAATGCAGGTACTGTATCTCAGACATCCCTTTGCTTTTTCTCTTGTCACTCTGCAGCACATATGCCATAAGTGGAGAAGAAAAGGACGAAAAGGAAGTGGTTTGGTATATTGGTTGTTGTAGACAATGAGAATGATCTTCATCATTATATTAATGATGGAGATGGATAATAATATTAGTTCATTATATTAATGATGGAGATAAAGTGAGTAAAGTGCAAATGATGAAAGCAATAATAATGCATTACAAAATTTATTTAATATTGTTCTTTATACTAGAATTAAATGATATTGGTGACTTTGATGTTGAAAATGAGTTGATGGCAAGAAAAAACAATAGCAATACGTTTCTATTGAAGATAGCATTGATTATGATTAACATTAGCAATGCTAAAGATTGTTTCCTGTATTGATTGATAAACTGCAGTAAAAATTATGACTATGCTAAAGTGGTGGTAATAATGATTTTAATGATAATGATGATTTTAATAATGATGATGAATCATATGAGAGATGAAAAATTACCTTCCTCTACTGCCCCACTGTTGCAGGATAAGGAAAGCTGAATATCAAATCTGAAGGTAACATTAGTGGGCAGAGTTTGTGTGACAGAATGGGAATCCATGCTCCAGACCTCTTAGACAGAAAAAATCCAGACCTTTTAGACAGAAAAATAGATTTGTTCTTCTCTTGTATACCTTTTTTTATTTTCCGTTGAGGTTGGATAAAAAATCTGGGGAGGGAAAAAGAACATGGTAGCCAGTAAAACCACAGGATCAAGTACAATGAAAGAAAAGACTGAACTGAGGAATGTATAGTAAAACAATGTAGGGTAAGGAAGGCAATACTGACCAATTACTATATAGAGTAATGATCACTAAAGTAAAGTAATGCATACTTAATCCATTGAATCTTGGTACCTTGCTGCCTGCACATGGAGCAAGGTCCAGGCATTAGGATTACTGTAGAGGCAACTCTCCTGGGTGCATGGCTTGTAAGCTTGGCCCACATGAACACTCTTGTGTGGTTTCTAGAATCCGGGCCTCCCCTTTACAATGTTATTTTCTTTTTTTCTGCATTAGTATTTTTTCCCCTCTTACATTTTTTAAGGGTTATTTGTCATTTGATAAAATGTATCAAGATGGAAATAAAATGTTTTCCTTGGACAGACTCCATCTCATCTCTATGTTGTTATTTGTCTTTTCTTTTTTTCTTTCATTTGCTTTACATGGATTTCTTTAACACACCCTGAACCACTGGTCAGATTGGGCAGGAATAGGATACTGTGCATGGAAATAATGTCCTCTCTGAAGCTGGTGTTCTTCTAGCCATGGCTCATAGATGGTACATTCCACCTTTTTTTACCAGTGGAAATGATACAAAAACCTCTTCCTAAAAGCCCACTGAGTCAGATCTTCCTCCAAGAGCTTTGTGCACTCATGGAGATTTATTCCCGTCACCCCAATCAAATTTCTTCATGATGTCATATTCCCAGCCCTATCCATATTTTTTTGTGAAATGATTAATCAGTCATGGAGCCGAAAATGAGCAGACCAGGGGCATTCAAAAGATATTAAACAAGGGAATGCAAAGAAGTGTTAGTGGCCCAGTTTAGGAGCAGTATGAGCATGACCCGGTTCACCCAATTCATTGACCTGAAAAATGTGAGTCTAGCATGATTCACGGAAAGAAAATAGTCTATAAAGTATATTGCTAAATTTGCTGGCTTCTGAAGCATAGCATCTCCAGATCAAGTCAGCATTACTGATGCAAGATCACAATCACTTTGGATGTAAGTCATGGTTGTTAGATTTGGATTTTAAAGTGCACAAAATGAGGATAGTATATAAAAAATAAGTATTGTGATCAAGATGAGTGTCTAGGAAGGGAATTTCATACACATGACATTCTACACAGGTATCATTAACCTGTTGTATCTGTTGTATGCCTTGTGAATCACATGGACCAAGATCCAGGCATTACCTTTACTTGAGTGGTAACTCTCTCAGGTATGGCTCACAGATGGTATAGTCCCCCCAGGTTTACCAAGGGAAATAATACAAGAGGCCCTCCAAAAGACCCACCAAGTCAATCTCCGTCTAAAAGCTTTTGCAACGGGTTCAACC